CTTAGAATTATCTGTAAGACTGATAAACTATTTTATATGGTTTAGATGGGGCTCTTATTAGTTAAAAAGCCTGTGACCACTCTTGGAATTAATTGTAAGACTGGTAAACTATTTTATATGGTTAAGATGAGTCACCTATTAGTCAAAAACCACGTGACCACTCTTAGAATTATCTGTAGGAATGGTAAACTATTTTATATGGTTAAGATGAGTCACTCATTAGTTAAAAACCACGTGACCACTCATAGAATTATCTGTAAGACTGATAAACTATTTTATATGGTTTAGATGGGGCTCTTATTAGTTAAAAACCACGTTACCACTCTTAGAATTAATTGTAAGACTGGTAAACTATTTTATATGGGTAAGATGAGTCACTTATTAGTCAAAAACCACATGACCACTCTTAGAATTATCTGTAGGACTGGTAAAGTATTTTATATGGTTAAGATGAGTCACTTATTAGTCAAAAACCACGTGACTACTCTTAGAATTATCTGTAAGACTGATAAACTATTTTATATGGTTTAGATGGGGCACTTATTAGTTAAAAACCACTTGACCACTCTTAGAATTATCTGTAAGACTGATAAACTATTTTATATGGTTTAGATGGGGCTCTTATTAGTTAAAAACCACGTGACCACTCTTAGAATTATCTGTAAGACTGGTAAACTATTTTATATAGTTTAGATGGGGCTCTTATTATTTAAAAACCACGTGACCACTCTTAGAATTAATTGTAAGACTGGTAAACTATTTTATTTGGTTAAGATGAGTCACTTATTAGTCAAAAACCACGTGACTACTCCTAGAATTATCTGTAAGACTGGTTATCTATTTTATATAGTTAGGATGAGTCACTTAATAGTTAAAAACCACCTGACCACTCTTAGAATTATCTGTAAGACTGATAAACTATTTTATATGGTTTAGATGGGGCTCTTATTAGTTAAAAACCACGTGACCACTCTTAGAATTATCTGTAAGACTGATAAACTATTTTATATGGTTAAGATGAGTCACTTATTAGTCAAAAACCACGTGACCACTCTTAGAATTATCTGTAAGACTGGTAAACTATTTTATATAGTTAAGATGAGTCACTTATTAGTTAAAAATCACGTGACCACACTTAGAATTATCTGTAAGACTGGTAAATTATTTTATATGGTTGAGATGAGTCACTTATTATTTAAAAACCACGTGACGACTCTTAGAATTAATTGTAAGACTGGTAAACTATTTTATATGGTTAAGATGAGTCACTTATTAGTCAAAAACCACGTGACCACTCTTAGAATTAATTGTAAGACTGGTAAACTATTTTATATGTTGAAGATGAGTCACTTATTAGTCAAAAACCACGTGACCACGCTTAGAATTATCTGTAGGACTAGTAAACTATTTTATATGGTTAAGATGTCACTTATTAGTTAAAAACCACGTGACCAATCTTAGATTTATCTGTAAGACTGATAAACTATTTTATATGGTTTAGATGGAGCTCTTATTAGTTAAAAACCACGTGACCACTCTTAGAATTATCTGTAAGACTGATAAACTATTTTATTTGGTTAAGATGAGTCACTTATTAGTCAAAAACCACGTGACCACTCTTAGAATTATCTGTAAGACTGGTAAACTATTTTCTATAGTTAAGATGAGTCACTTATTATTTAAAAACCACGTGACCACTCTTAGAATTATCTGTAAGACTGGTAAATTATTTTATATGTTTAAGATGAGTCACTTATTAGTTAAAAACCACGTGACCCCTCTTAGAATTATCTGTAAGACTGGTAAACTATTTTATATGGTTTAGATGGGGCTCTTATTATTTAAAAACCACGTGACCACTCTTAGAATTAATTGTAAGACTGGTAAACTATTTTATATGGTTAAGATGAGTCACTTATTAGTCAAAAACCACGTGACCACTCTTAGAATTATCTGTAGGACTGGTAAACTATTTTATATGGTTAAGATGTGTCACTTATTAGTCAAAAACCACGTGACCACTCTTACAATTATCTGTAAGACTGGTTAACTATTTTATATGGTTAAGATGAGTCACTTATTAATTAAAAACCACGTGACCACCCTTAAAATTATCTGTAAGACTGATAAACTATTTTATATGGTTTAGATGGGGCTCTTATTAGTTAAAAACCACGTGACCACTTTTAGAATTATCTGTAAGACTGATAAACTATTTTATATGGTTTAGATGGGGCTCTTATTAGTTGAAAACCACGTGACCACTCTTAGAATTAATTGTAAGACTGGTAAACTATTTTATATTGTTAAGATGAGTCACTTATTAGTCAAAAACCACGTGACCGCTCTTAGAATTATCTGTAAGCCTGGTAAACTATTTTATATGGTAAAGATGAGTCACTTATTAGTCAAAAACCACGTGACCACTCTTAGAATTATCTGTAAGACTGGTAAACTATTTTATATAGTTTAGAAGAGTCACTTATTAGTTAAAAACCACGTGACCACTCTTAGAATTATCTGTAAGACTGGTAAATTATTTTATATGGTTAAGATGAGTCACTTGTTAGTTAAAAACCACGTGACCACTCTTAGAATAATCTGTAAGACTGATAAACTATTTTATATAGTTTAGATGGGGCTCTTATTAGTTAAAAACCACGTGACCACTCTTAGAATTAATTGTAAGACTGGTAAACTATTTTATATGGTTAAGATGAGTCACTTATTAGTCAAAAACCACGTGACCACTCTTAGAATTATCTGTAAGACTGGTAAACTATTTTATATGGTTAAGATGAGTCACTTATTAGTTAAAAACCACGTGACCACTCTTAGAATTATCTGTAAGACTGATAAACTATTTTATATGGTTTAGATGCGGCTCTTATTAGTTAAAAACCACGTGACCACTCTTAGAATTAATTGTAAGACTGGTAAACGATTTTATATGGTTAAGATGAGTCACCTATTAGTCAAAAACGACCACTCTTAGAATTATCTGTAAGACTGGTAAACTATTTTATATGTTTAAGATGAATCACTCATTAGTTAAAAACCACGTGACCACTCATAGAATTATCTGTAAGACTGATAAACTATTTTATATGGTTTAGATGGGCCTCTTATTAGTTAAAAACCACGTGACCACTCTTAGAATTATCTGAAAGACTGATAAACTATTTTATATGGTTTAGATGAGGCTCTCATTAGTTGAAAACCACGTGACCACTCTTAGAATTAATTGTAAGACTGATAAACTATTTTATATGGTTTAGATGGGGCTCTTATTAGTTTAAAACCACGTGACCACTCTTAGAATTAATTGTAAGACTGGTAAACTATTTTATATGGTTAAGATGAGTCACTTATTAGTCAAAAACCACATGACCACTCTTAGAATTATCTGTAAGACTGATGAACTATTTTATATGGTTTAGATGGGGCTCTTATTAGTTACAAACCACGTGTCCACTCTTAGAATTAATTGTAAGACTGGTAAACTAAACTGCTGGACAATTGCTTTCGAACAAGGGAAATATCGCCTAATTTTCAAGCTCGATATTTTTGGAACCAGACTAGATATCGACCTTCGGTTTTCACGGGCTGACAGATTGACTTTTTATAAAAAAAATTGCTATTTTGAATTTTTTTCAAATGTCGACTTTTTTTTATACAGGGAGTAATGTCAGCTCTATTTGCTGACAAATCATATAAACTAGTTATATTGTAGGACCCTATGTTATCCTTATACTAATAATTCTCCTTTCCTATGTTAATTATTACCGTAGGCCTATGTCAATACTAATAAATATATAAAACTGCTTAATCAGCGGTACTGCACTGGTAGTACCGCCACCTGCATAGGAAAATGCTTGGATCAGCAAATATTTATTATTTAAGCCAGAGCTTTCCAGTAAGGAGCGTTCATTTGTTTCCAGGCACTCCCTGTAGCAATTTGATCCACATATTTTCCGATTGTCACTATTGTATTTTAATTAATAAAATTAATGGTTTTTAAAAATACAAGTTTCTGAATCGAAAATATAGATGGCGCAAGTCGGTGCGGATGTTCTTCAGAGTGCTATAGAGTCCAGAGATTGAACTTTCGAAAAAGTTTAATCCAACTATTTTATATGGTTAAGATGAGTCACTTATTAGTCAAAAACCACGTGACTACTCTTAGAATTATCTGTGAGACTGGTAAACTATTTTATATAGTTAAGATGAGTCACTTAATAGTTAAAAACCACTTGACCACTCTTAGAATTATCTGTAAGACTGATAAACTATTTTATATGGTTTAGATGGGGCTCTTATTAATTAAAAACCACGTGACCACTCTTAGAATTATCTGTAAGACTGGTAAACTATTTTATATAGTTAAGATGAGTCACTTATGATTTAAAAACCACGTGACCACTCTTAGAATTATCTGTAAGACTGGTAAATTATTTTATATGTTTAAGATGAGTCACTTATTAGTTAAAAACCACGTGACCCCTCTTAGAATTATCTGTAAGACTGGTAAACTATTTTATATGGTTTAGATGGGGCTCTTATTATTTAAAAACCACGTGACCACTCTTAGAATTAATTGTAAGACTGGTAAACTATTTTATATGGTTAAGATGAGTCACTTATTAGTCAAAAACCACGTGACCACTCTTAGAATTAATTGTAAGACTGGTAAACTATTTTATATGGTTAAGATGAGACACTTATTAGTCAAAAACCACGTGACCACTCTTAGAATTATCTGTAGGACTGGTAAACTATTTTATATGGTTAAGATGAGTCACTTATTAGTCAAAAACCACGTGACCACTCTTACAATTATCTGTAAGACTGGTTAACTATTTTATATGGTTAAGATGGGTCACTTATTAGTTAAAAACCACGTGACCACTCTTAGAATTATCTGTAAGACTGATAAACTATTTTATATGATTTAGATCGGGCTCTTATTAGTTAAAAACAACGTGACCACTCTTAGAATTCGGCTGTCCCAATGCAAAACACAGTAACTAACATTTTCGTCAAAATTCAGTTTATTAGGGATTTGGAGTTGCTGTGTTTTGCTAAACATTTTGGTATTTTACAAGCTCAAATCCCTCGATAAATAAGGAAAATAGAATGCATTCAAAACACAGTAACTGCTCGCAATAAAATATTTTACCATTACAAAACACAGTATTTATCAAATCCCATACCAAAACACAGTAACTACTTGGCAGTTACTGTGTTTTGTTATCGTTTTTGTTGTTACTGTGTTTTGTACTGGCAAATCGGTTGGAATTCGGTTTCAAATCTGCCATCCCCACCATTAATATCCAAGTTAACTGCCAGTGCCTCCAGGCACTGATTCTTTCTTGTGTCAGTAACAAATAGACCATTATGAGACTAGAGGATGTCGCTGCAACGCGATACTATTCTGCCATCATGCAGTACGCGAACAAGACGTATTATGGTTAACTATTCTACTGTTTTTTATCCTGAAAAGGTAAATAGAATTATACACGGATATATATTCAATTTGATTCACAAATACTTTCTAGAAAATCGACGAATTACCACTTTTCCCAATCGTTAAGTATGAAACTTCATCATTTTTTACGAGCAAGTATGAAAGTGAAAAACAGAAAGAAATGTACTTAGACAGATTACAGACATTTGTCTCTACTGCTTTTCCATGTGAGGATTATCTTGAAAGCCCTGTAGATGATAGCGACCTGGACAAAGATTACGAACCCAGCGACAGCGAATACGATGATAACATTGTAGAATCCGAAAGTAGAAAAAGAAAGGTGAAAAGATCACAGTTCGGAGGAAAAATCGCCACTCCTGAACCAATAGTAGGTTGATATCGAAATGATTATCTACAAGGTAATTTATTATTATTATTATTATTTAAACTTCTGATTTTAGGACACCAATGAAATTACTTCTTGCTCTAACGATATTCCGAGGATAATGGAAGCCAGTGGTGAAGTCCTCAAAATTGATAATGCTGCTCCAGTGGTAAGTTATTTAATTTCTGTTTTCTGTTTATTTATAAATACGTTTTTCTAGAATGACAAAAGAAGTGACAATGGAGAAAGAGATGAGCAAAATGAAACGGAAGCTGGCAACTTATCTAATGAAGACCCAGAACTTGAGACACCCGATTTAGTGGTAATATATTTATTTTCATTTTCAAATTTAGAAATTGATTGTGGTATATTTTTGCAGAATGACAATGGTCAGGTACAAGAAAATGAAGAAAGAGAGAGGCAAAATACTAGAGAATTAAAAAGACCTGGTCGAAGACTAGTAGGAAGAGAAAAAATCGAGAGAGACAAAAACAAACATCCCATGAGAGCCATTTGTAACGGAAAATGTAGAAGCCTGTGTAAAAGCTTAACAGAAGAACATCGTCATGATATTTGGAACCAGTATTGGAATTTGGACTACACAAGTAGACGTAAATGGTTAAGTAAACATGTAACGTTACTTCCAGTAAAACGAAAAAGTATGACAGCTCAACATTCAAGATCGGAATCAAGGTATTTCACTCTACCACTTCCAGATTCAACTGAAATTGCTGTATGCAGACTGACGTTCCTAAATACTTTAGGATATACTACTGATTCCGTAATAACCGAATTAGTTGCAGCAATTAAATCAGGCCCTTGCGGTGATCAGGTTAAGGAGCGTAGGGGTGGAAGTCATAGGCCGGAAGCTGACCGAGATATAATAAAAAACCACATTGAGTCATTTAAACCTTGCGTGAGCCATTATAGAAGAAAGAATGCCCCCAACGTAAGATATTTACCTAGAGAGCTCACTATTAAAATCATGTACGATGACTTTGTTTCGAAACATCCAAATATATGTAAAATTGAGATTTACAGACAGGCCTTGAAAAAAATGAATATTTCTCTTCGCCAACCAAAATCGGATGTTTGTGAAGACTGCTCGTCCCTGAAAAACATTTTGGAAAATGGTGAAAATGAAATCATCCAAAATCAATACGACTCTCACCGTGCTAAAGCTACAAAAGCAAATTTAGAATATAAAAAGGATTCGGACGAAGCAGCAGAAGCAGGTTCAACAAATAAACGGATTTACTCCATGGATTTACAGAAAGTTATTATTTTGCCTATCATGCCTCAAAGCAAGACCGCCTTTTTTACAAGTCGACTTGTTGTTTTCAATCAAACGTTCGCCACTTTGAGCAAGGAATCCTCTAATCAAAGTTACTGTGTGCTCTGGCACGAAGCATTAGGTGGTCGTAAAGCTGAGGCTCTTGTTGATGCTATGTTCAAAGTCATCGAGAAAGAAAGGGATGCTACGGATTTTATATTTTGGGCTGATAATTATAGCGCCCAGAACAAAAATTGGGTTTTGTACACATCACTTGTTACTGAAGTTAATCGTGTAACTGGTCCAAATCAAATTACCATTCGTTATCTCACCAAAGGCCATACTCATATGAGTGCAGATGGTATCCATGGTAATAGCGAGCAGAAACTCTTGAGGAAGAGAAACATATATGATTTTCAAGAATTGATAGAAGCTGTCGAATCATCCAGAAGGAAATTAGAAGTTCTGCAATTAAAAGAGTTCCACTTGTGGCCAAATAAAAAAAGAAATACAAAAAAGGCAGCGGATCCATTAAAGGGTTTTCTATTGAATGAAATTGTTGATGTTTGTTTCAAAAAAGGAAGCCAATGCATGCAATATAAAAAAGATTTTGCAGATGAATATATAGAGTTGGATTTCATACAGAAGAAGCACAATCCTATGACCTTCACACCACAAGCCTTGTCCTCTCGTGGCATTTCAGCCTCCAAAAAAGCGAAAATCTTGAAAGATCTAGTACCGCTTATGCCAACCAACAGAAGGGTGTTTTGGGAAACGATGCCAGAATCCAAAATATCCGTGGACTTGGTTGATGCTTAGCAAGTAGGGGAAGAAATAGATTCTGATGTTTGAATATCCTGATTGTAATATTATCTTATTTGAGTTTTATCAACTTGGTACCCTTCAGAAGTTTTTCTTGTGTTTTGTTTATAAAATAAAAAAAATGGAGTATGTATTATTTTGAGTTCAAAATACAGTAATGGATGTTAACTGCTTTAAAGAGTTTAATATTTTATGCTAGTTTTCTGTTACAAAACATAATAAAGGCAATTTTGATGAAGTATTATCAAATTCATGTGTTTTGATGAAGTATTATCAAATTCATTAGAAAAAAAAAATTACATGAGAAGGCAGTTACTGTGTTTTGACACAAACTTATGTTGTTTATTCGAAAAAAATCCCATGCAAAACCTTTTTTGCAGCTGCCGAACTATTGTTTTAAGGGTTTATCTTCTTAAAACTATGATAAAAAGAGTGCTCAGGTTATACCTGACTACCCTTAAAAATATTGAAGCAATATCTCCATTTATTTCGTGGCGCTCGAAAATTATCATTAAATTCGATTTTTCCACGTTGTTATCGTAGTGTTGTTACTGCGTTTTGAATTGGGACAGCCGAATTATCTGTAAGACTGATAAACTATTTTATATGCTTTAGATGGGGCTCCTATTAGTTAAAAACCACGTGACCACTCTCAGAAATAATTGTAAGACTGGTAAACTATTTTATATGGTTGAGATGAGTCACTTATTAGTTAAAAACCACGTGACCACTCTTAGAATTATCTGTAAGACTGGTAAACTATTTTATATGGTTAAGATGGGGCTCTTATTAGTTAAAAACCTCGTGACCACTCTTAGAATTAATTGTAAGACTGGTAAATTATTTTATATGGTTAAGATGAGTCACTTATTAGTCAAAAACCACGTGACCACTCTTAGAATTATCTGTAAGACTGGTAAACTATTTTATATGGTTTAGATGGGGCTCTTATTAGTTAAAAACCACGTGACCACTCTCAGAAATAATTGTAAGACTGGTGAACTATTTCATATGGTTGAGATGAGTCACTTATTAGTTAAAAACCACGTGACCACTCTTAGAATTATCTGTAAGACTGGTAAACTATTTTATATGGTTTAGATGGGGCTCCTATTAATTAAAGACCACGTGACCACTCTCAGAAATAATTGTAAGACTGGTAAACTATTTTATATGGTTGAGATGAGTCACTTATTAGTTAAAAACCACGTGAACACTCTTAGAATTATCTGTAAGACTGATTTTTTTTTTTTTTTTTTTTTTAATGGCTCTGGTTGAAACCAAATGGCCAGCCTCTCTCTTTGTTTATTCCGAAATTTTGAGTTCCCCTTTCTTTGTTATACATACTAGTACTTAATCTATCTAAACTATACTTATACTAAAGTTTTCATTACATGTACTTTAATTTTCTCTTTTTTTTTGTGTATATTTTTATTTTTTATCATTATTATATACATACATTTTTTATTTATTTTTTTCCTTCATTTTCATTTTTTTTTTTTTTTTGTTTTGTTTTTTTTTTTTTTGTATTTGTATTTTTTGTAGTTTGAGTTTTTTTTTTTTTTTTTTGTTTTTTTTTTGTTTTTTTTTTTGTTTTTTTCTAATTTTATGACATTTAGGTATAGCTAATTTTTCACAAATTGGTATTTGTTTCCCTAACATATTGATACATAGTTTTGTATACTTCAATGTTGTTTGATATAATCAAAGTATTATAATTTAATGGCAATTCTATTAAATTTGTTAATTTTGAATATAAGCTATTTCTTTCATTTTCAAATTTAGAACATACTAAAAAGAAGTGTTCCAGATCTCCAGTTTCCCCACAGTCGCATCTATCATTCTCTACTAACCCTAACTTTTTCATATGTACAGGATACAAAGCGTGATAGCATCTGAGACGTGAAATAGTCCTTACAAAATTTTTATTACTCTCTCTATGAAACCATGAATGTCTGAACAATTTTGGAAAATTTCTTTTAAAGATTTTACCCTTATTTGTCTCGGTATACATATTTTGCCAATCAAACTTTTGTCTTGCCTTGGCATAACTAATAATGTCACTATAGGGAACTTTGAAATTAGTGATTCTGCCACTATGTGTGGCCTCTTTAGCTGCCTTTTCGGCAAATTCGTTATCCCTTATACCTATATGAGCTTTAAACCATACAAAGAAAATTTGTTTGTTTGATCGGTACAATTGTTCAATTAAGTTTATTATTTCACTGATTATGTAATTATTAGGATATCTGTGTAAATAATTTTTGATGGATTGTAATGAGCTTTTACTATCTGAAAATATCACAAATTTGTTGTTATCGTCGTAATTTAAGCTATAATTTAAAGATTCTCGGATAGCCCATAATTCAGCAGTATATATTGATGCGTGTTCTGAAATTTTATACTTCTCGTAGTGGTTTATGTTTTTATGATAAAAGGCACAGCCAACCTTTTTTTCCATGACTGAGCCATCTGTAAAAATTTGTTCGAAATTTGCCCAAGTACTATTCTGTTCTTCGTAAAATTTATGTTTTTGATAGATGATATTTTCTGTATTTTCTTCTTGTATTATTATTTTTGGTTCAATTTCTAAGGCAGCTTCATTGAGTTGGAAATATGGATGAATGCAATTTTGAAAAATATTGTCTTTATGTTGAGTTATCCAAGAATAACTCTCTACAAGCTTGGGCAGTTTTTTAACTCTCCAATGATTATGCGTATAGCAAAGAGTTGTTAGATTATTAATTTTTGCTATTTATTAATACACTGTTTTTGGCTAAAAGCTTCAATAAAAATTTGTCTGTAATAAATTTTCGTCTCAATTCCAATGGTGGTTCTCTTGCTTCAACTTCTAAGACTATTATTGGAGTACTATTTAAACATCCAATGTTCTGCCTTAAACATTTATTTTTAATAACCTCGATTTTCTTGAGGTGGCTGTCAGCAGCTGAGCCATAAAAGATACTGGAATAATCAAATATAGATCGCACAAACGATTTATAAAATAAAAGGCACAAATTTGGGTCTGCACCCCATTTTCTATTGCTGAAAGCGCGCATAACATTTAAACCATTCTCAGTTCTTTTAATCAGATAGTTTATCTGATCCTTCCATAGTAACTTCCTGTCCAGGTATAACCCAAGGTACTTCACAGTAGGTCGTAATGGGATGGTTTTTCCCCCGAGTAAGATGAGGTTTGTTTCTTGTCTTCTGGCTCTTGAAAAATTGCATCCTGTTGTTTTTTCCACAGATAGTTGTAGTCCATTTTTGCTTAACCATTTTTGTGTACTTCTATATGTTCTTTCTAAGATTTCCCGGCATTTTTCTAATGTTTTATTGGTTGTATATATACAAATATCATCTGCAAACTGAATAAGTTTGATGTTGTTGTCTGTAAATAGGTCTTCTAGGTCGCTGGTGTATATTGTGTATAAAATAGGACTTAATATGCTACCCTGTGGTAGGCCAATTTTCGCTTCCTTGGGTTCTGTTAATCCGTCATTTGTTCTTATGTATGTTCTTCGTGATCGATAAATGTTATATACGTTTTGGACTAGCTGTTTTGGGATGCCAATTTTGTTCATTTTGTCGATCAATATGCTATATACGACACTATCATAGGCTCTTTGTACATCTAAAAATAGGGCGAAAGTGCATTGGTTACTTGTAAACCCCAATTGAATGTCTGTTATAAGATGAGCCAGTGCTTCCTGGGTGGAGGTACCTCTCTTGAATCCGAATTGAGTTTTAGGAAATATGTGATTTTTTTCTATCCAAAACTCTAGTCTGGTTTTTATCAATCGTTCGTAGGTTTTTAAAATGCATGAGGCGAGAGCAATTGGTCTGAATGATGTTGATTTATTTAATGGTTTTCCTGGTTTGATAATTGGTATTATTAGATATTCTTTCCAGTCTCCAGGGATTGGTTCGATTCCAAGAAAAATGTTATTATATATAAGGAGGAGTGCTTCCTTGGCGTTGTTTGGTAGGTGAAACAACATTGAGTATTGTATACCATCATACCCAGGTGCGGTGTTGTTATTTTTTTTCAAAGCTCTGGATAGTTCTGTAGTTGTAAATGGTCTAGTTAAAAAATGTATTTCCTCAACGTTTGGACAATTCGTTTCTTCTGGCTTCTCACTGACATAGGGTGGTGCAATTTTGTCGTGGAATTCTTCAATCCATAAATCTGTCAGGCTTGTCACTAGCCTGTTGCTTTGTCTTCTGTTTTTATAACTATTCACTTTCTGCCATACTGTTTTTATTGGAGTATGCTGATTAATTGATGAACAGAACGTCTGCCAAGATTCTCTTTTTGCTTGTTTTGTTATCCTTTTCGCCATAGCGTCAGATTTTTTGTATTCGATAAGATTTGTCATATTTGGATTCGTTTTATATCTGGAGAAACATTGTTTTCTGTACTTTACAATTTCATCGCATTTTTCATTCCACCAGGATTTTCCTCCTGCCTTTTTATTGCTTTTTGACGCATAGGTTGCCATTGTGTGACTTAGAATGGCATTTAACATATTAATAAAATGATCGTAATTTGAACATTCTCTATTGGAAAAGGCTAAGTGAGCTTGTAAGTGAAAGTTTTCCCAGTCGGTTCTTCTAGTATTCCATTTTTTCGTATAACTGTTGGTAGAGGTAACTGTTGTTGAAATTTGAGATCGTATAATTATTGGAATATGGTCTGATCCATATGTATCTGACAGTGTTTGCCATTCTAGACTATCCTGCAAATCTGGGGTAGTCAGAGATAAATCTATGGCTGAATTGTTTCCACCTGAAGGGTTGATTCGAGTGTACTCGCCATTATTTAAATAAATGTAATTTGACTCATCTAAGGCTTCTAACAAAATATTACCAGCTTGATCACTGTCTACGCAACCCCATGCTATATGGTGTGCATTAAAATCTCCGCATATTAAAGCAGGTTTTTCGAATGAACCTAAGAATCGGTTCCATACATTTTTGGTTATTTTGGATTGTGGCTTGATATATACTGAAACGAGAGTTAACTGGGAATTATTTGTAGTTGGAATTTTTATTCCTACATAAAGAATATTTGGAAGATTTAAACTCAAAATTTCGGAATATTTTATATTGCTCTTTATCATTATGGCTACGCCACCCTTGCCGTCATTTCGGTCATTTCTTACTATGTTATAACCTGGGAATGCTATATATTTTCCCGGTTTGAACCATGTTTCTGACAACAAAGCGATATTAATCTTATTTTCCTGTAAAAGATAAATTAAGTTTTCTTTATTTGAGATTGCCGATCGGCAGTTCCATTGACAAATATTTAAATTTTCCATTTGACTAGATCTAATAAAGATTTTTTTGAATTAAGTTTGTAAGTTCCTGTTTATTTATATCCAAACAATTTTTTTCTTTTAACACTGTCAAAACTTTAAAAATGATTTCAACTACAACATTTATATTAGTCCCTGATCTATCTTCTAAACTGTTATTTTCATTTCTTTTTTCGTTTAAATTTGATTGATATATTTGGCTATTCATAACACTACTTGACGGTTGATAAGTGTTAAATTGAGAAAGTATTTCTTTATGCTGTTCAAAAATTGGGGAAGATGGCCTATTTCTTTTGAGGGGAATTTTAGGCTGTGTAAATTGAGTGAAGTGAGTTTTTTGAGTGGTTCTATTATTTGTGTTATTTGTTCTATTATCTTTTTGTGATAATATGGAGTCTAAATCAGATAAATTTATTTCGCCTAGATTCCGAGATGCCACTGATGCATAGCTTGTGCTAGGGAAGCATTTATCCGCTTCTTTATAACTAAGATTTTGTATTGCCATTGCTCTTTTTATATTTTTTTGTCTTTCAAACTCTAAGCATTTTTTTGTTTCGTTTGTACTGTGGTTGCCCTTGCAATGAAAACAAATAGTATCAGTGTTTTCTGTACATTCTTCTGCTTTATGTTCTCCTTTACATTTGAGACACCTTTGCTTCCCCTTGCATTGTTTGCTAGTGTGCCCGTATCGGAAACACTTATAGCAAAGCAGAACCCTTTGCACATATGGGGTTACTACAAATCTAACATGTCCTATTGCTAAATATTTTGGGAGAGTTTGTGTTCTAAAGGAAATTATTACTGAGTTTGTATTAACTATCTTTTTTTCTTTATCTTTCTGATCAAAAATTGCTCTCGTTATTCTTTTTACTTTGTTTACACTAAAATTACAATGTTCATCAAATTTTTTTATTTTATTTTTTATTGTTTCTTCACTTATATCGCTTTCAATACCTCTTATTACGCCCTCTTTTATAACCGCTGATTTAGGAATGTAAAAGTCTAACTTTTTTTCCTTTAAAGATTTGGATAAAATTAATGCATTTGCCGTTTTACTATCTTTATATTGAATCCTAACTCGGTTTTGACCAATTGATTCTATTACTTTTATTTTATTATCTATTTCTGGGTGAAGTTCATAAATATATTCATTTACTTTAATAGCGCTAAGCTTACCTCTAGCATTTTCTGAAATATTTTCTACTAGTACATAAAAGGGTCCAAAATCCGTTGACCCATAAAGAAATTGGAATTTTGTTACCTGTTTTTCTGCAATTTTATTTATATCCTCTGTGTTATTTTGATAATCCATTCTTTCTTTGACCTGTTTTTCTAAACCTGATTCAACCCCCGAAGGCGTTAAATCATCAGGGGGCTTCCCCCCATTAAATAGGTCCATTGGAGAACCCAATTAAATTACACTCGCTTGTTTACTATAAATTTTCATAAAAACCAAAGGAATGTCACTAAACTGATAAGAGAACACACCGACCGCACCATACAATAGCCCGATCGAAACTGCTGTAAGACTGATAAACTATTTTATATGGTTTAGATCTGGCTCTTATTAGTTAAAAGCCACGTGACCACTCTTAGAATTAATTGTAAGACTGGTAAACTATTTTATATGGGTAAGATGAGTCACTTATTAGTCAAAAACCACATGACCACTCTTAGAATTATCTGTTGGACTGGTAAACTATTTTATATGGTTAAGAT